TTTCTCACCACATCTCTTGCATGACTCCATGGTACTGGGGACAAGTTTGTATGCTTTCACCCCAGAGCTGGCTGGGTTATGGCTTTTGTAGCAGAGCCCATACAGCCTATGGAAGAACTAGAATCTCACAGTAATAAGAATCTAGGAAGAATTCCAAACCGAAGCAGGCAGGGTCTGGAACCCAAAGGACAGCATTTTCCATCCACTTCTTAATTTTGACAGCTTCCCAGTTCTATTTAATGTCCAAAAAAATGTTTCCCAAAATTTTGAACTCTTTCACTGTAAAGATTTGTTAAAAGAATGTGGTTTGGGGAGTTACCTTATTTTATATTGTTGTAAACAAACTTCAGATTCTGTATGTGCCTGCCGCTTTTCTTCTTCCTGAAGGGTATGTTGAGTAGTCAGTGTTTTCAGAATTGTTTTGTTACTATATTTTAACATTTAAAATTTCCTGTTTGTATTATTTTGTGAGATCAAGGTGATTATGCTGCTTAAGGTCCAGGTACAACCTATTTGTACCTTTTGAGATAATATGTGTGTTACTTTTGCAGGTTACGGTTCCACATATAATTGCTATATTTTGTTTTTTCTTACTAGGCAAAGTTAAAATATTCCATGCTTTGAGGAGTGACCCATTTCACTACTTTGTTTTCTTATCACTATAAGGCAGAAATCAAAGCACAGTTGTCCATTAACACTTAGCAGTTAATTATGGGTTTATGAGTCTGTAATGTTATATTGCTGCAAACATTTACTATGTAAACGTGAAGTAGCCAATAATATCTCAATTGTAGTAACAGTATCTTTAGTGACTTTTGGAATAGTTAAGCACAGGTCATTGTTGTCATGAATTCAGGCCTCTGTACTAAGATCTATTTCAGGGAATGCTCTGTCTAGTGATTTGTTCACCATTTGATATATAATGAATTATATAGGACAAGTATAAGCTGATCTGCTATAGCTGATCCATCAGAGAGGATATATGTGGCTATACGTCTGTAACAAAACTGACGATTCCTCTACAAGAGGCTGTTTCTCACTGCTGATGTTGGTGTTTCTGTGTGGGAAGAAATGCACAGGCGTGCACGGCATGTACGTTCAGACAGCTGCATTGTACGAATTCTGTTATGCAGTCTGAAAAGGGAAGAAACAGGATGGGCTTCTGTAGCCACATCTGTGAGGTGTGATGATTGTTATATTATTAGATTACTGATTTTTCTTTTCTGAAACTACATTTGAGTTTTAATCACCTCTGTGGAAGCTGTAACTTTTAAAGTAGTCAATTTCATGTCTTCTTCAATGATGGAAGCAGAAACTGATACCCTACTTTTGCCGACTGGCCATTATTGAGTTTATTGTTTAATTTTTAGTAAAGGAAGTTACCCCATTTCACTCATTGTGACTTTTGTTCTTAGGGAAGCAGAGAAGTCTCCCCAAGTTCTTGTAACCTCAGTGTGCTTCCCTAATTTAAAGCCATGTTGAGGGGCTCCATTACCAATTCCTAGGTCAAGGTGAATTAACCCTAAGTTGGAGCACTGGAAACCGTTATTTGCAAACATTGCTGTTACAATTTAGAAATATGTGCACTACCGGCTGGGTGCAATGGCTTGCACCTGTAATCCCAGCACTTTGGGAGGCCGAGGCAGGCGGATCACCTGAGGTCAGGAGTCCAAGACCAGCCTGGCCAACATGGTGAAACGCTGTCTCTACTAAAAATAAAAAAATTAGCTGGGCGTGGTGGCAGTCGCCTGTAATCTCAGCTACTCGGGAGGCTGAGGCAGGAAAATTGCTGGAACCCGAAGGCGGAAGTTGCAATGAGCCAAGATCACACCACTGCAATTTAGCCTGGGTGACAACAGCAAGACTCTTGTCTCAAAAAAAAAAAAAAAAAAGAAAAAAGAAATATGTGCACTACCTAAGTTTTGTCTTTTGAGAAAAACTATCCACCTATAAAAAAATTACCTTGACAAAAATAGTTCTGGTTTGACTAATCATTTTGTTCTTTAAGTGGTAAGTGTATGCCAGGTGGATCCTTGATGAGCCAACATTGCACTGTGGATACATATCTATGTTTACGCGCTATTAGAACAGAAGGCGCTGTATATAGAAGTGTTGCTTTGAAGCAATATTTGCAAAACATGCAAACTTCTGTATCTGTATTTGGAAAAAATAAAACAGGTTCTTGTTGCTATGTTTCAGTTACATATTATTTACAATCATGCACCATATAACGTTTCTGTCAACCATGGACCCTATGTACAGAGTGCTCCCATAAGATTATAATGAAGCTAAAAAATTCCTATCACTTAGTGATGTCCTGATGGTCCTACTGTATAGGCCTAGGCTAATGTGTGGTCTTGTCTTAGCTTTTAACAAAAATTTAAAAAGTAAAATATAAAAATTAAAGTAGAAAAAAACCTCATACAATAAGAATGTAAAGAAAATATATTTGTATAGCTCTACCATGTGTGTAAACACAAAGTGTTATCATGAAAGTCAGAATTAAAATTAAAAAGCTTAAAAAACAAAAAAGTTGGTCAGGCAGGGTGCCTCAGACCTGTAATCCTAGTACTTGAGGAGGCTGAGGCTGGAGACCCTGTCTCTAAATAAGGGGCCAGGTGCCATAACCCCAGCACTTTGGGAGGCCAAGGCGGGCAGATCACCTGAGGTCAAGAGTTTGAGACCAGCCTGGCCTACATGGCAAAACCCCATAGTAAAAATACAAAAATTAGCATGGTGGTGCATGCCTGTAGTCCCAGCTACTTGAGAGGCTAAGGCAGGAGAATCGCTTGAACCTGGGAGGTGGAGGTTGCAGTGAGCCGAGATTGCCCACTTCAACCTGGGCAACGGAGTGAAACTCTGTCTCAAAAAACCAAAAAACAAAAGTTAAACTAAGGCTAATTTATTATTGAAGAAAGAAATTAAAAAAAAATAAGTTTAGTCGTTTTTGACTAGCCTGGGCAACATGGTGAAACCCCATCTCTACAAAAAGTAGCCAGGCATGGTGGTGTGCCCCCGTATTCCTAGCTACTTGGGAGGTTGAGGCAAGAAGATCACCTGAGCCTTGGAGCCAGAAGTTGCAGTGAACCTAGATTGTGCCACTGTACTCCAGCCTGGACAACAATGTGAGATCCTGTCTCAAAAAAAAAAAATTTAGTGTAGCCTATGTGTTCAGTGTTTATAAATTCAGGAGTAGCATACAGTAACATCCTAGACGTTCACACTCACTCATCACTTAGCCAGAACAACGTCCAGTCCTGCAAACGCGATTTGTGGTACAGGTAACTGTTTTACTATATATAGTATATTAAATATATGTATTTTTTTGGGGGGGGGGGAAGGAATCTTGCTCTGTCACCCAAGCTAGAGTGCAATGGCACAATCTTGGCTCACTGCAACCTCTAACTCCTGGGTTCAAACGATTCTCCTGCCTCAGCCTCATGAGTAGCTGGTATTACAGGTGCCCACCACCACACCCAGCTAATTTTTGTATTTTTAGTAGAGATGGGGTTTCACCACGTTGGCCAGGCTGGCTCCGAACCCCTAACCTTGTAATCGCCCACCTCGGCCTCCCAAAGTGCTGGGATTACAGGTATGAGCCACCGCACCCAGCCTATACTACTTTTTTACTGAAACTTTTCTACACATAGATATGTAAATACCATTGTTATAACTGCCTGTAGTATTCAGTACAGTACCATGCTGTACAGGCTTGAAGCCTGAGAGCAGTAGACTCTACCACAAAGCCTAGGTGTATGTAGGCTATACCATCTAGTTTGCTTAAGTACACTCTAATGAGGCTCACACAATGATAAAACTGCCTAAAGGGTCATATTTCAGAGCATATCCTCATTGTTAAGTGATGCATGACTGTATAAAGTTCTTCACCATTCTTTTTTATTGAGTTCACTGTTGTTGCCCAAGCTGGAGTGCAGTGGTGTGATCTCGGCTCTCTGTAACCTACATCTCCTGAGTTCAAGTGATTCTCCTGCCCCAGCCTCCCAAGTAGCTGGGATTACAGGTGTTCACCACCACACAGGGCTAATTTTGTATTTTTAACAGAGACGCTGATGGGTCACTTGAGGTCAGGAGTTTGAGACCAGCCAAACCAAGGCGGTGAAACCCCATCCCTATTAAAAACACAAAATTAGCCGGATGTAGTGGCACACACCTGTAATACAAGCACTTTGGGAGGCTGAGGCAGGTGGATCACGAGGTCAGGAGTTCGAGACCAGCCTGACCAACATGGTGAAACCCAGTCTGTACTAAAAATACAAAAAGTAGCTGGGTATGGTGGGCGTGCCTGTAATCAGCTACTCGGGAGGCTGAGGCAGGAAAATCATTTGAACCCGGGAGGCGGAGGTTGCGGTGAGCCGAGATCGGGCCACTGCACTCCAGCCTGGGAGATAGAGCAAGACTCCGTCTCAAAAACAAAAACGAATCAAAGGGAGCCAGCTGAAGAGACATTAAAATGAGTAGCTTCAGTAATGTAAATAAACCATTAGTCCACACTAGTTGTGCTTAACTCCTACCACAGGCCTAACATTTGGCAAGGAAGGTGAGCAAGCCTGGCGACATAAGCCAGAACTCACAAGAACTAGTCTGTGTCTGTAAGGGTGTGCAGTAAACACTTCACATTAAAATGGCCCAATAACTTGGACCTTTTGGGAAGCCTGTACTCCAAAGGGCAGGTGCAAGTCGATGCCCACATTGGTATAGAGGTAGCTAGTTAAGTGAGCATTTAATAGAGGCAGCTATTCTACGTGGAAGAAACCCAAGTGGTTCCTTGGGACCCCAGGTGGAAAACTTCCCATATGTGGTAGAGGGATGACCCAGGTTCTGTCAATATTGTGGGATCTAAAGATCCCACAATAGCCAACGAAAGCCTTACTCTTAGGGACTCCCAACTTCGTTTCGCCACTAGCCAGAATGGCGGTGGGAAATAGGCTCGGTAAAATAAACCCAATAAAGAACGAATGAAAGAGACACACCAGACCAAAGGCGCTGCGAAAACTCGTTTTTCATTAACACGGGGTGCGGTCCTAGGTTTAGGCCCCCGGACCGGATCATGGCCCCAGTCCACAGAGAGCACCCGGCCCTGGCCGCCCCTAGCTCCACCGCTCAGCCAGTGATGCGTACATCCGTGCGGCGGCGGATCCGCCGGGCCCGCGTCGCCTCAGGCAGGATGGCAAGCAGCTGCTCTTGCACCAGCATCTCCACGATCTGCTCCTTGGTGCGGATGTCAGGCCGCAGCCACTGGCGGGAGAGCTCCCGCAGCTGCCGGAACGCCTCCCGGGGACCCGCCGCGTCCTGGTAGCGGAACTGCCGGAAACGCTGGCGGAACGTCTCGGGGCCGGGTCTAGAGCCGGCGAGGCCTGGTGGGGAGCGCGCTTCGGCTTCGGCCTGAGGCGCGATGCTCATGGGTGCAGGCCCAAGGGGCAGCTCCGGGGCTGCAGAGACCGCAGCCCGGGGCGTAGGGATGGCCTCGGGGACCGCGGCGTTGGGGCTGGAAGGCTCGGGGGCAGGCGGTGAGGCGTCTGGCAGCGAAGAGCCCACAGAGTTACGCTCACGGTCTGAGCTCGAACAGGCTCCTTCCGATTTCTCCGGTGGCACCGCCGCGGGACTCCCAGTGGCCGCCAAGATCGGCTCCAACGCCGCCATAACTTCGGCTCCGGGTGTCACTCTTTGTTCGGTAGCTATGGGCTGAGCAGTGCGTCTGCGCGGGGGCGGGGTGAGCAGGGAGACGTTTCCGGTTAAAGAGCAGAGCTCGCGCCACCCTTGAGGGAGGTGGCTTCAGGACCAGCGGAGAGTGCGCGGAGCTTACCTGCACCAGCGGAGCGCCTGCAGCAGCCGGAACCGAAAGTCTCTGCCTTCTCTGCGTCCAACTCTGCGTGCGAGACCCCGGAAGCAGCGCGCGGCCTCCCGGAAGCGGCGCCCTCTAGCGTTCTCGAGTCGCATGAGGAGGATGCTGCCCTCGAGATGCTGGAGGCCGAGCTGCGCGTGGCTTGGGCCCTTTCCGAATGGTGGCGCCTCTGAGCGCCAGTTCGAGGAGGAGTCGGAGGAGGAGCCTGAATGTTTCCAGGTAGACTTCGAGTCCCGGATCTTATCCGTGAGCCGCTTCGGCTTGCAGGGGAGCTTTCCGTGCGGGCGCCCTTTCTGACCGACCCTGATGAGCTGTAGCTCTGAAGGCCCCTCCTTCTGGAATGATTAGGCTGATGGCTGGCCGGGGCTCGTCCGGGTGGTGCCCGGCCGGTGACCCGAACAGGGGAGCGGGAAGGCGTCCGGGCCCTCGGGGAGGGCCCGTCTCGAGAAAGTTCTCTCGCTAGGTCAAAGTAGGAGGGCGATAGCACCCCCGCTTACTGCGAGGGTGACGGGCTGCAACACATCGCCTGGCCTGAAGGAAATGCTCGAGAACTCTTTGCTATTGTTATTTTTTCGCGTGTCTTCCAAAACCAAGGGAAAGGCGGCTCTGTGGGTTAACTTCAAGATTATTAAGTGAACTTTAAGTGCGTTGTCCCTTATGGTGGCTGCTGGCCGCCTGAGTTGACTGAGCCCTTGCAACGTAGCTAGTTGTTAACCCTCGAAATATAGCGAATTGAGATGTGCTGTATTGTAAAATATGGGACTTAGTATGAAAAAAACTAATGTAAAATATCTCAGTACTTTTTAATACTCATTACATGTTGGACCACAATGTTTTGCATATACTGGGTCAAATAAAAATATTATAATTAATTTCACCTACGTGTTTTTACTTTTTAAATGCAGCTTCAAAAACTATTTACATTGCATATGCGGTTTACATTATATTTCCGTTGAACAGCGTTGGGTTACAGTTAGGCTGCCTTGGTGGAAACCACTTTGTACCCACCTCAGAGTTGTTGGGAGGGTTAAATAAGTTAAGCCTTTGGAGAGAAAGGGCTTTTTTTTTTTTTTTTTTTATGAGAGGGAGTTTCGCTCTTGTTACCCAGGCTGGAGTGCAATGGCGCGATCTCGGCTCACCGCAACCTCCGCCTCCTGGGTTCAGGCAATTCTCCTGCCTCAGCCTCCTGAGTAGCTGGGATTACAGGCACGCGCCACCATGCCCAGCTAATTTTTTGTATTTTTGGTAGAGACGGGGTTTCACCATGTTGACCAGGATGGTCTCGATCTCTCGACCTCGTGATCCACCCGCCTCGGCCTCCCAAAGTGCTGGGATTACAGGCTTGAGCCACCGCGCCCGGCCGGAGAAAGGGCTTTTAAGAAGTTTGCTGTTGTTTTTATTAGGTAAACTGCTTGCTATCCCTGAGCTACTGTTTCCTTATCAGTAAAATGTGGATGTAATAGAACTTACCTCTCAGAGGTAACAGTATTCAGTGAGATGCAGGTAAAAGCATGTGCTCTGACAGTCCTCGACCAGGTGGCTTTCTGTTTGATAACTGACTCACAAATTGTTTTGTTTTGTTTTGAGACTGAGTCCTCCCTCTGTCACCCGGGCTGGAGGGCAGTGGCGCCATCTCAGCTCACTGTAACCTCTGCCTCCCGGGTTCAAGCGATTCTCCTACCTCAGTCTCCTGAGTAGCTGGGATTACTGGCGCCCGCCACCACACCTGGCTAATGTTTTGGTAGAGGCGGAGTTTCACCATGTTGGCCAGACTGGTCTGGAACTCCTGACCTCAGATCATCTGCCCGCCTTAGCCTCCCAAAGTGCTGGGATTACAGGTTTGAGCCACGGTGCCCGGCCACAAATAGGTTTTGTATCCCCATTTTACAGAATAGAAAACTGAGGCCCTGAGAGGACAGGGGCCGCATATGAAAGGTTTTGTATGACCTTGCAGTCCTTTTGAGCTCTGTGCAGGATGGAGGGGCATATTTAACAACCATTAACACGCCGGTAGCCCTGATATAGAACTTGCCCCTACTGTAGGGTGTTTCCTTTGGATAGCTAAAAGTGGATCCTCGTGAAATCGTTTCCATAGCCTGAAAACCTGGAAAAGTCATCACAATGGGCCTTTAATGTTTTTTAGTAGTTGCTGACATGTAAAAATTGGGAGATTTCACATGCAAATCTAGATAGCCACACTGAACCGAAATTCCTGCCAGTCAGCAATCAGCTGACACTGAGTAGAGACTACTTCCTTTAAACAAGACACACTGTCCCATTTGGTCTCAATCTCTACCATTCCCTATGGTTCTCTGAAATAGAATGTTGTTTGTATTTACTGTTGCTCTCAGGCTCTTGCTTTCTTTAGAGCCGATATTTTTTTTTCTGTTTTCTTTTTAGACGTGAGAAAGCAGGGTCCTATTGTTTGTTATGCCTACTGGCTTCAAATCTTGACTTCTGTTTGGTCCCTTGGCAGTGGGGTTTGCTGCCCAGAGTGACCAACAGTGCTAGTCCCTGTGTGGTAACAGGTACTCAGTTTCCAGGGCTAAGGGAATACACTAAACCCTTCTGTGGAGGCAAGAGGTGATAGAAGTCTTTACTGGGGAGGGGGCTTCAAGCTGAGACTCAAGAAGAAAATGGATGGGGCTCAGAGGCATTCCAGGTAGAAGGCACTGCCTGCACAAAGGCACATAGCGAATGGGAGCAAAACTGTGGAAACTGCAGGCTATTTGGGAACGTGGTTGGGATCTGGAGAAGGGAAGAGAGATGAGGTTGGAAGACTGGTAGAGGTTAAATCATAAATGTCCTAGAATTCCATGTTTAAAATTTAGTTCTTATCCTCTCATGAAAGGTAATGAACTCTTGTGGTACCTGAAATCAGGAGATGTTATGTTAGATCTCTAGTCTATTTCTTTCATTCATATTGAAATCATGAATTATTAGAGATGGAAGGAGGGACCTGAGAGATCTATTAGAATCACTGAATGTTAGACGGGAAGGGGCCTCAAAAATTGAAGTAAAAAATCTGGCCCTTTATGGGTAAGTAAACCTGCTTTAAAGTGATTTAGCAGTAAATAATAAATAATTTAGAGGGAATAGGTGAAACAAGATTGGCTCAGTAGTTGGCCAGACACAGTGGCTCATGCCTGTAATCCCAGCTCTTTGGGAGGCCGAGGCAGGAGGATCACCTGAGTTCAAGACCAGCCTGGGCAACATGATGAAACTCTGTCTCTACTAAAAATACAAAAAATTAGCTAGGCGCAGTGGCTCATGCCTGTAGTCCCAGCACTTTGGAAGGCCAAGGTGGGCGGATCACTTGAAAGATTGGCAATATGTACACTCTACTTTTGTATATGCTTGAAAATGTCCATGATAAAAGTTAAAGCATTCAGATTCCCAGAATCTGAAAAAATATATATAATGCCTCTTCTTCGAAAAGGGATGCAGTTACCTACTTTCAGATAATTTGCATATATCCTTGAACTCTTCCAGAGGTCCCAGATTAAATTTAAAATATACATTTATATTTCATTCTTTTGAATTTTGCAGATTGAGACGCTAAGATGCCAGGAGATGAAGGATTGGTCCAAAATAAAAAAGCTAGTAAGTGATTCCATGAGAACAGAAATCTTTTGACTTTTAGCCCAAACTCTTATTAGGCCTTTTTATCCCTAGATTGGGAGTTCACTTGGGAAAGAATCGTAACTCATTCATCTCGTATCACTTAGCTTCCAACACAAGGCCTCACTCCTAGCCAGCCTCAGTGTTGATAAAAGAGGCAAATATGGATTGCAGACCATCCCTGGGAAGGTAGAGCTCTCATACGAGTCCTAGACTCTTTCAGAGACCTTGGTGCCTTTTGATGGCATGTGGTTGTTGGAGGTTGTGGAAAAGAAGCTTGGATACTTTTCTTTTTTTTTTGAGATGGAGTTTCGCTCTTGTTGCCCAAGCTGGCGTGCAATGGTGTGATGTCAGCTCACCTGGGTTCAAGCGATTCTCCTGCCTCAGCCTCCCAAGTAGCTGGGATTACAGGCATGCACCACCACACCTGGCTAACTTTATATTTTTAGTAGAGACGGAGTTTCTCCATGTTGATCAGGCTGGTCTTGAACTCCCGAACTCAGTTGATCCACCTTCCTTGGCCTCCCAAAGTGAGCCACCACGCCCGGCCACTTTTCTTTTTTATCAGAGCCATCATACTGGAGAATACATCTTTTAAAAAGCTTTTCATTTAGAAATAATTATAGATTCCTAATAGGTTGCAAAAATAGTTCAGAGAGGTTTCATGTACCCTTCACTCAGTTTTTCCTAATGGTAACAATATTAAAACCAGGAATTTGACATTGGTACAATCCACAGACTTTATTCACATTTTCCCAGTTTTAGATACGTTTTTTTGTGTGTGCGTATGTGTGTGTGTAGGTCTATGCAATTTTATTGCGTGGATTCATGCAACTACTACCACACCATCTAGAACTGTCTGATCACCACAAAGATCCCTCGTGCTATCTTTTTGTAATTGCATCCATTCATCTTCCCTTCCCTTCTCCCTACACAGGCAACCACTAATCTATTCTCCATGTTTATAACTGTGTTATTTTTAAAATGTTATGTAATTGGAATCATATAGTGTATAATCATTTGGGCTTGGCTCTTTCCACTTAGCACAATACCCTGGAGATTCACCCAGGTGGTTGCATGTATCAATAGTTTGTTCTTTTTATTGCTGAGAGGTACCATGGTATATTTAACCATCCATTGAAGGTCATTTGGGTTGTTTCTACCTTTGAGCTGTTACAAATAGAACTGCTATGAGTTATTTTATGGCACGGCCTTAGGTAATCATTTATCCTTCTGAGTCTGGAGATAGTATCTACCACACAGGATGGCTCTCAATAGTCGATGAGGAAATATATATAAGGGAACTGGTGCAAGGTTTGGCACAGAGTATATACTTAGTAATTTTTTAAAAAACCGTGATGGTTATGAAGAAATAATACTTGAATGTGTAAGTTCTAGTATGTAGTATTTTTAAGTCACAGGCATTGATAATAGTGTATTAATCTGTTCTCACACTGCCAATAAAGACATATCTAAGACTGGGCAATTTATAAAGGAAAGAAGTTTAATGGACTCAAAGCTTCACACTGGGGAGACCTCACAATCATGGTGGAAGACAAGGAGGAGCAAGTCAAGTCTTACATGGATGGCAGTAGGCAAAGAGAGAATGAGAACAAAGTGAAAGGGGTTTCCCCTTATAAAACCATCAGGTCTCTTGAGACTTATTCACTACTGGGAGAACAGTATAGGGGAAACTGCCTCCATGATTTAATTATCTTCCACTGGGTCCTTCCCACAACATGTGGGAATTATGGGAGCTACAATTCAAGATGAGATTTGGGTGCAGGTACAGCCAAACCATATTAATTAGTCATTCTTGTTTTGTTTTGTTTTCTCATTGTCAGTGCTTGAAGACAATTAGTAATTCTTGAACATCTGTGTATGTGTGACACATTATTTACAGATAAGAAATTAAAGTCAAGAGGGATTAATTAACTTGCCTAAGTTCAGCCAGTGCATGGCAAGATTGGGATTCAAACCCACATTTAACATAGAGACAGTAGGAACCATGGAAGGACTTAAAAGTAGTGGAGGGATGTGATCAGCTTTGTGTTTTAGGAGACTCAGTCTGTATGTACTGTAAAGAATATTGCTTTATTGCCGAACACTTAGATTATTTCTGTTTTTTCATTATTAAGATAATGTGATAATCATATAGAGCTTAAAAAGCATCTGTTACCATCAAATCTATTTGGTTTCTGAGTTTGAAAAGCAAGCATTCTGATAGCAAGAGCTTGGATGATAAGGGAT